CGCGCCCCCCGCGGCCCGGCGGCCCCGCGGCGCAGCCCCGGTCCGAACGGCCGGCAAGGCTGCCGCGAGCCCGCTCTTCTGCGCGACTGAAACGGGAGCGCGGCCGCGATCTGAAAGCCCAAATCCCCACCGGCTTGCCGAGCTTCGATTAGCGACGCTTTTCTCCTTCACGTCATGCTCTTTTCTGCTAGCTGTCACTACGCCACTCCCACCAGGCACGCAGGACACAGCAGCAACGCAGAACCTTTCCGTTCGTCTGCTCGCGGCTGTGCCACTCTCGCCGTGGAGGGCAAGGAACAGGAGTTCTGATCGCCTCCCGACAGTCACAACCCCAAGCAGCAGCGGCCTCTGGGCAGACGTGCTCCCCTGCACCTCTGTGGTGTGCTTTCCTCCCCGCCATTACCATATGCCCACCTCAAAGTTGATTTAAAGTTCTCAAAATCACTCTTGCATGTGTGCAACAGACAGCAGAGCAGTATTGCCGGCCAGGGGCTGTGTACAAATCACAAACGGCACGGGACTGCTAGGAACGTGTCTAGAGCAGTTTTATTTCCCAGCATCAGTCTTCATTACATGGTTATGACAATGGGAGGATGCCAGCAGCTCACATCCCAGGCAACAGACCAAGAACTTAATGTTACAATTTACTTGGTAAGTTTTTTGACCAATCACACAAAGCAAAAGCACATTGACGGTAGTTTTATCCAATTGCTATAAGCACACGTACCTTTGGTTAAAAAAATGCTTGCTTATTTTGAATACGATACTTGTTTGTAAGCCTTAAAACACAATGCACAGAGCTCCATTATTAAGCTTAGAACTTCCTAATATCTTGCTAGATATACTTTTCTGCAGATTAGGGAGTTATTCTAGAGAAGTGTTAATACACAGACCATTGTTCCATTTGTCCTTACTTTTCTACTTTTTACATAATTTTTCTGCTAACTTATTTTATGGCTACTGCTTAGCTGTAATCACAGTTCTGCTGTCTCCGAGGCCTGCCTTTCACAACTTTCCCAAAACCCTCTGATTTTATCGATTCGCACAATCCCACACAACAGCAGCTCCTTAGGTGGCCATAAAGCCACCAGAAACCATTTCAGGCTGCCATACAGGTGCAGGGCACGTAAAAGTTCTTACTGCTACCGGACTTTCTGCTGTGTCTCCCCGTCTGCTCATCGACTCACACCGGAATGAACAGAACAGTGAATGGACACTGAGCCTCCCCTACCTTCCCCTCCCACCCCCCAAAAATGCCCCGAGGGCCCAACAGCAGTTACAGATTCCCTGACAATCAAAAATCTCCAGTAAGGTATTTTACTGAATTTTCCCAACATCTGAGGAAACACGTGGGGAAACGAACCCAACGGCCGCTCACTTTTCCGATCTCGAGCATTCTGCACGCCGGTAACACGGTTCGCTGCCCCGCCGGCGGGCGGTGACTGCGCTGGCCGGGGCTCGCCCGCAGCCGCTCGCAAGCGCGGCTCCCCAGGCCCGGGCTAAAGGCGGCTCCGGCGGGGCGGCGGACGGAGCCGGCGCTCGTTCAGCGCGGCCGCCCCCGGAGCTCACCGGCTCCCCGCACGGGAGGAAGTGACGTACCTGCGAAACGGGGCGGCAAGGTGGCCATGGCGGTTGTGGGCATTGCGGGGCGGAGTCCGTGGCTGGGCCGTCCCCGGGCGAGTGCTACTCCCGGCGCAGTTTCGGAGGAACCCCGCGGAGGAGGAAAAGCACCGCGAACCTTAGCACCGGGGACAGGCCCCTCCATACGCCCTCAGCGCGGCCGAAACCGCTACCGATCCCGGTCGTGGCGCGAGCAGAGCTCCGTGCCAGCAGGAAGCTCATGCCAGGGCCAAAGATGGCGCCCCCGCCCCCGATAGACCGCGAGGGCGCCGCGCATCCGGCGCCGCCCGCGTAACGCCCCGCCGGGAAGGCGGCGGGCAGCGCCCCCGCCCGGCCTCGCTCCGCGCCCTTGGCGCTCGCCGGCGGCCATGGCGGCCTGGCCCACCGTGCCCCTCCTCATCAACCTCGGCGGGTCGCTGCTGGGCTTCGCGGCCACGCTCACGCTGATTCCGGCCTTCACGGACCACTTCCTCGCCGCGCGGCTCTTCGGGGAGGACCTGAACAAGACCTCAAGGCGGCCCGTGTGAGTAGCGCTGCCCCAGGGAGCTGCCCCGCGGGGCCGGCCCCACGCACGGCTGACTCTCCCCGCTCTGCCTTCCAGCCCCGAAGCACAGGGCGTGATCAGCGGTGCCGTGTTCCTCATCATCCTCTTCTGCTTCATCCCCGTGCCCTTCCTGAGATGTTTTGTGGAGGAGCAGTGCGCGGCCTTGCCTCACGACGAGGTGAGGCTCGTCTAGTGCCGCAAGCGTGGCAGGCAGGGGCAGGGAGTGGCCGCCGGTGACCGGGGTCCTGTTCTCTGTCCTGCAGTTCGTGGAGCTCATCGGTTCGCTCCTTGCCATCTGCTGCATGATTTTCCTGGGCTTTGCAGATGATGTTCTGAACCTGCGCTGGCGGCACAAGTTGCTTCTGCCTACCATGGCTTCCCTCCCACTGCTCATGGTTTACTTCACCAACTTTGGGAACACGACCATTGTGGTGCCTAAGCCCTTCCGGGTGCTGCTGGGCATGCACTTGGACCTGGGTAAGTTATGAATCACCAGAAGCTGTCATCCATGTGGCAAGCAGTCAGTTGCAGGGATCACATGTGCTGCAGAGGGAGCAGACTAAGGATTTGCTTAAGTAACTAGTAAGAGAGTGGCAGTCCACCCACTAAACATTAGGCTGGAAAGAACATCCAGAAACCCAGCACACATTCAGCTGTGCATGAAATAAATAGGGCAGGAGATCTTTCTCCTTTTTTAATGCCTTTATTAAAAATCAGCTCAAGTGGGGAGAACCAACGGGTCATGCCCATGCTGCCACTGCTCCCAGGAGTGGCACAGAGGAGGAGGAAGAATGCAGCTGTGTCCGCTGGTACGCGGGCAGAGCTGGGGCTCCTGTCTCCACGAGAGCAGTAGGAGATTCCTCCACTTTCCCAGTTAGACATTCAAGGCCGACATCCTTGAGGTTAGGGTGAGAGGTACAAAGGATCGTAGCAGACACTGGATTAAGTTCCTCATCTTTAGACATCACTTAGATCTCTTAATTCCATGTTGGCACATTGTTTTAGGGGCTTTTCTTGCAAGATTAGGTGTGGGGCTTCCTCATTTGCGTACCAGCTCTGACGTCACCTCCCCCCCGCAGCTTCGGGGGTCACCCTCCGGGAAGCAGCAGGGGGACACTTGAGCTGATTTCTAACCATTAACAGGTAATTGAAGAAAAACTATTAAGAACAGGTGATTACAGCATGAAGTTATTAACAACAGCAGTTGGTTTAGCTTGTTAACGCTGCAACTTAAAAAGTATGGACAACTTTTCTACTCATAATAGTGCACAGACAGACACCAATCATTTTCCTGTGGCAATACAGCTGAGTACTGGGGCACACAGCACATGGCTGATAACACCAGGTCATTAGAAAGACAGAAACAGCACTACAGCTGGCTGCTGTGTCACAGCAGTTTGCCACAGTCACAGTGCATGTAGACATGACAGCCAGCTTGTAAGAGAGGAAGCAATCTTATTTGTAAGCTACCATTATCAAAACACACTGAAATTGGTAATAGGTTGTTGTATAAAGCAAGAAGTGAGAGCTTCAGTCAATTGGTCTAGGGCCTGCTTTGCCTCCAAATACTGAAGCATTTGACTTGCTCTGCTCTGCAGGTATCCTCTACTACGTGTACATGGGTATGCTAGCAGTGTTCTGCACTAATGCCATCAACATTCTTGCTGGAATTAATGGAATTGAAGCAGGACAGTCGCTGGTGATAGCTGCTTCCATTATCATATTCAATATTGTAGAACTAAACGGTAAGGAAAATAACAAACTTCTGTGAGCACAAAAAGCAAAGGGAGATTGAATTCCAGATTTCAGTAGCTGGTATTACTAAAAATGAACCAGTCTTGTCTTGTCACAAACATGTTTTTCTTTTTTCTATAGGGGATTATCGAGATGATCACATTTTTTCTCTCTACTTCATGATTCCCTTTTTTTTTACCACGCTGGGCCTATTTTACCACAACTGGTAAGAGGATAGACATTCAGAATTTGTTTGGAAGCATCCTTTCCCTCTAGTTTCTCCCTTTTTGAATGAACAAAACCACTTGACCAGGTGCAGGTGTGGAACACTGGAGTGTAGAGAGGCTTCTTGCCAGAACCAAGAACACAAAGCATGGATGGATTAGTAGCTTTTCTTTGTGTTGAAACAATTGTGGTCACACCAGCTCACCCAAACATGCAGAATACACTGTCTCCTGTGCCTCGCTGGCTGTCTTTTCATACAGTATTCTCTGCAAGTCAGGTGGTGGGTCCCAGTCCTGCAGTTCTTAGATTAAATACCTACAATTGTTTTTACTGCGTAGATCTGCTGCAGATCTCTGCTGGCCCCTGACCTGCGATGTGGGTACACATTGAGTGGTTATAAATAGCCATTCTTGTGGCAACAGCAGCTAATTCAGATCTTTGCTTTTCTGCTCCATGGATTTCAGGTACCCATCTCGAGTGTTTGTTGGGGATACCTTCTGCTACTTTGCTGGCATGACCTTTGCTGTGGTGGGGATCGTAGGACACTTCAGCAAAACAATGCTGCTTTTTTTCATCCCGCAAGTACTCAACTTCCTCTATTCATTGCCTCAACTCTTCCACGTCATTCCTTGTCCCCGTCACCGGCTACCGAGGTAATGTGTGGTACTACAGGTTGTGTCTTTTACCTCCAACACCAGCTGAGAAAGGTGGTGGAAGGTGCTCTTTTGAAAAGCCATCAAAGTATGTTTTCTCTTTAAAAGACAGCAGCTCACTCTGCCAGCTACAGTCAGATCATACAGTAGAGGCTTCTCAAAGAAGTGCACTTTTCAGACCAGCCCACCCCTCAGATACAGAATGATTTTTAACAAGGTTAGAACATGATGATTGATCGAGAGAAATTGACACAGGCTGCTTTTAATGTTGCAGCAGTGGGATCTGCTAAGATTCCTTAGTAGCAAGCATTCTGTAGCACTATGCCACATCAGCAGTTCTCTCTGCAGATGTTAGATTCTTCTGTTTTATTCTTTAAACTACACAGCATATATTGGGGGTGCAGTGGGAAGGAGTCTTCTCTGCCCCACTTGAGGGGCTAGATACCAGCAGCTGTTTTTAAGTGCATCAGGCTATTCCTGTTTCTTCCACCACTGGATTTCTTTCTCAGCTATAGGTCTAAGTCTGCTTACAAAGTGATCTCTCTATCCCCTTGCTGTATCTGGACTAATTTTTAAATGTTTCTTTTAGGCTTAATCCTAGTACAGGGAAGTTGGAGATGAGCTACTCCAAATTCAAAACTAAGAGCCTCTCTGCTCTGGGAACAAGCATTCTGAAGGTAATTTGTGGAAAACATTCAAAATTCAGATGCATTTTGAGGCTGTCATCAAGTGCAAGAGAAAAAAGGTGGGAGAGAATGCAGAACTTCAGGGTTCAGTAGTTACTGCCTAGCTCAAATCTGGAAGAAGTCTGTTACCATCCCTCACAGTCACTCGATTGTGTTAAAATCAGTCTTCCAGAATAACCACACATAGAAGTGCCCAGGACCATCAAAAATCTGTCCTATCCTTTCAGTAAGAGAACAACCAGGATTTCAGGGCTGGCTCTTGAGCAAGATTAGCCAGTGACCACCAAACATAGCTGGTGAAATAGCATCCAATATTTCTTTCCTCAGGTAGTCAAGATCTTGCACGTAGTAGATGTGAGGAGTGGAACAGATGAAGATGGCGAATACACCGAATGCAATAATATGACACTTATTAATTTTGTCATAAAGCTGATTGGACCCACCCACGAGCGAAATCTCACTCTCCTGTTGCTACTCATTCAGGTCAGACAAAGAATTCCTCCAGTAGAAAGATTTACTCTGCAATAGAAACAGATCCAAGTCAGTCTCAAGAACTTTAAGGGGAAAGGGGAAAGTGAAATATCATGCTCTTCACACAAGGTGCAATTGAGCTGTGGAGCTTGCGGGGAATAAGAGGCTTACACACCTCAAGCAGGAAAGAAATCCACACATACCTCCCTGTTCACTGAGAGCTTATAAAAAAGTCAGAAGGTTAGCTTAACAAGAGTCCCAAGGCACGAGTCATTGGTTGCAAGAAAAACATGAGCACAGCAGAATTCCTTGTCACTCTGACCCAAGACAGCCTTTTGGTATGTTCCTGTTTTTATGTAATACCAAATAACAGTCTCAGAGTTCTCACGGGCAAGTGGACTTCGTAAGCAAGGCACGTGGCTCAGCAGTCTCTCACTCTGAGCGGCACGCGGAAGAAATTTTGAAGCCACTTGGAGCATAAGGATGTGCATCACAGACCGTGCCACTATACCTCTGTTCAGCATGTGAATTCCGAGCATAGTGTAGTAAAAACACCGCTTTTGGAAAGGCCTACACTGGTTAACTGCCCACAATAAAATTCTTCTTTTCATCTTCAGATTTAAGACAAGGGATTCTTACTAGGAAAGAGACACTTAGCCAGATTCTGATTTGAGAGGAACAACTTGCAACGAAAGCCTGTTGAGGGCTCAGGCAGATGGCATTGGGATGGGAGAAGACAGGAAGTACATAGCACTTACCTTGATCCCAGTCACAGCAGAGAAGTCCTGACAGCACCTTATTGTAAGGATGCTGAATTTCAGCTTTGACATAAGGTATTTTCCATTACAAACCATGGGGTTTATGTTAAAATATAAGGCTCCTTAAGGGGGAAGGAGTTATTCCCAAACTCTTATCTCATGCACATGTTCTTAGAATGTAACTGTGTGCAGGCACATGGAGAAATCTCCCACTGATACCTAAAATCATCAGAGAAAGAAACAATGTATTTGGATAGACTTCTGCCATTTATCTTCCTATACTTAAATAAAGTAGCCTTTTAGTTGCTGTTTTATGAAACGAGGCGTGCTGGAAAGCTTAGCAAATCCATTTGGAAAGGAGGAATCTGAGAGCCTGAAAACCATTTGACAGTGTAACGTTTCTGTTATGTGTCTGATTTTTACCTAGGTCCTCGGCAGCACGATTGCATTTTCGATCCGGTACCAGCTAGTGCGCCTGTTTTATGATGTGTGACTGGACTGTCAGGAGCGAGGGAAAGAGTTCTGCCTGCCAGTCCATTTTCTCCAGTTGCTTGACCAAGCGATTGAACTGATGCTGCTCCCGCCCTCTGGGAACCTCAGAATACCTGTCAAAGCACAAGCAACTGCTTTGCGTGGGCCAGTTTTGAACCGGGATGTTCTTTGTGCACCAAAGGCTTTTGTCCAATTCTGTGACGGAAAAGATTCACTGCTACTTGGACATCATTGTTACCAGGAATACCTTTTAGAGGGGAAGCAAATGACAGCACGTAGGGAAAGTGGGAAAGATGGAATCTCTATACACCTAACAAACACATTACTGTTCACCAAGAGAGAAAACAGCAACTTTAATTTCTGTGAGCAGAATAAGTAGACCAGACTCCGTTCCTGGCTTCTCCAGTCCTGTTTTTGGTCCATAGACATAGAATGACATGTTATAACCTGTACTCAAAACTCAGAGTGCTCCAAGAATAAAATAATTCATGGTACCCTTTCCCCTGCAGTGCTTTGCCTCGACAATATTGACATGCAGTGAAAATAGGTCGTACGATCCACATCCAGCTTTCTGCCCTGCTAGGCAGCTGATAATTTCTGCAGTGGACATTCCCTCCTTTTTTATGTCTATTGGGAATGTTCCTGCTGATGAGCTTTTAGTTCTGAATACCTTTATCATCTGCCTTCCTCCCTGGAAGAGAGCACATCTGGAACAGGCTAGCAGAGTGAGGATCACCATGTCCTTGCCTTAGCAGGGCATCAATAGGATCCTTTTATTAATGCGGAACTAAGACTCTGCTGACTGCCAATCCCTGCTGCTCACTCTGGGGAAAAAAAACACACAAGTTGGACTAGGTAAAACAGCACAGACTGCAGAGATAATTCTTACTGATCAGAAATATTTTAAAACATTACAACTTTCTTCACTTTTATTATTCCTTCAACATTCCCATGTTTTTTTTTCCTCCTAATCCACTTTGACTCCTCATTCTCCTTTGCTGCTTCTCTTAATATACCCGTATTAGAAATCCATAATATATCTCACATTCCCAGAATTCCCTAAAAAGGGTCTCATGGTTGGTTTTTTCACATCTCTAACTGCTCTTCCCCACATGTGCCACCCTAAGGCCAATGTCCCTACAGACAGGGATACCTCTCAGTCTGCAGGCATCCCGGGAGCCCCTCTGCCTCTCTGTGGGTGGAAGCCAGGCCCAGGGCCTGTCTCCGGCCCTCACGCAGCGCCGTGCTCCCCGCCGGGCGGCTCCGAGGGCTCCGCGGGGTCGGCGCCGCGGGCGGGCCGGCATTGCGCATGCTCGCTGAGGCCGGCGGCAGCGCCCCACCAATAGCCTCGGCGTGGTTTAAATTTGGCGCCTCGCTCGCTGATTGGTCGGACCCCGCGGCCAACACATTCAGAGCAAGCGCGTTGGTATCACGCAAGCGACCAGTCAGCAAAAAGCTTCTTCCGGCAAACGCACCAATAGCTAGGGGCGGTGGCGTTGTCCAATGAGCTGGACCCTACTTGGCGGGAGGTTATAAAAATCCCGGGCGCGGCGCGTCAGTCGCATCGGTTCAGCAGCGGAGCGAGGCGCCATGTCCGGCCGTGGCAAGAGCGGCGGTAAGGCCCGCGCTAAGGCCAAGTCTCGCTCGTCCCGGGCTGGGCTGCAGTTCCCGGTAGGGCGCGTTCACCGACTGCTGCGGCGCGGGCACTACGCGGAGCGGGTGGGGGCTGGTGCGCCCGTCTATCTGGCGGCCGTGCTCGAGTACCTGACCGCTGAGATCCTGGAGCTCGCGGGCAACGCGGCGCGCGACAACAAGAAGACGCGCATCATCCCCCGGCACCTGCAGCTGGCGGTGCGCAACGACGAGGAGCTCAACAAGCTGCTGGGCAAGGTGACCATCGCGCAGGGCGGCGTCCTGCCCAACATTCAGGCCGTGCTGCTGCCCAAGAAGACCATCAAGAGGGGCAGCGGGCAGCAGTCGCAGGAGTACTAGGCCGGCCGGCCCTCCCGGCCCAACTCAAAGGCCCTTTTCAGGGCCACCCCATTGCTCACCGGGAGAGCTGCGATCCGCGGAGGAGGGAAGGGGACGAGATGCGTGGCTGCGGGGAGCGGGGGGGCGGCGGGAAAGCGGCCCGGGGCCGGTCAAACACTGAGCGTGAGAGAGCTGCTCCGTAAGGACCCGTTATTTTAATTCTTACCTATCTCTGGTATATTCAGCGGACGTTGCCTAGAAAATAAAACTGCTTTATTTACAAAACAGGACCCCAACACGGTGCCGTTACAGTGTTTCTGCAAGGCACTGTAACAATCAAACCCTGCTCAGAGGACGCAGACCTAGTGGCGAGCGCAGGAAGCCACAGTATCTGGAACTGGGGCTGCTGCTTCAGCTCGCCCTGCAGTGGCAAGTCTAGCTAACTAGCTCTCATGACTTTTGTGGACCATACAAGGGAAACCAAAATGGCTGTCCGCTCCCTCATTTAATACTAGCCAATCTAGCAAGTACAGCTTATATAAAATCAATCTGACACTAGCCAATTGGCCAGCATATCAGTGCATCTACCCGATAACGGTGAACTTATTTTACCTTCACTAAGGCCAAGGGTGAATGTAGCATCTCTGCTACTTCACTATGAGGAACATGGTGTCAGGAACCTAATGGGAGCCTTCAGTGATGCAGTGAGTGAGAAGGCCCAAATGCTGAGTGCTTTTGGGAGTCATTAGAGTACAGCATTTTAGTACCAGCACAGTTGCATATCCAGTTATAACCCAATGGGCGCTTTGCTCATAAATGAAACTGAACACTTGTATTTTATTTTTAATTTTTTCTTTCCGTTCTCAAGCTACAAAAATTGTTGACAATACTTCATAGAGATGTTTAACAATTTAGAGAAATGTGGAGAGGAGTGAAGAGCAGAAACTACTCAAGTTAACTTCATATTTCAGGTTTTTTGCACCCAAACATCAGGTAAGACTGGTGTGAATGTTGAAATAAATCCATCCAAAGGATCATGATGTCGCTGCACAGACTTGTAGCTGTAGTTGTAGCACTCACACTGGCCTCACCCCAGGTTCAGCGGGCATCATTGAGCTGCCTTGCCACGCTAAGGATATGCTTTGCTCCCTTGCTCAGAAGTAAACTAGCTAGTTCAACACCCAGGTTCTCTGCAGCTTCCTGGGCCTGATCAGGAACGTTCTTGGCTGTGATGCCAACATGCTGCACGTCATCATTCGGTCCATCTTCATTCTGCAAATACAGACACCTCAAAGTAAGGCAGCAGGAAATTGAGACACCTGTGAAACACGGTAAAACCTAGTCTGAAGAGCCTCAAGAACAGTGTGCTGTTACAGGTTACAAGAAACCAGACCAAATGTAGTCTATTTCTAAAGGCCCGGTTTTTGTCATCTGGCTTCAGGTTTGAATTTTGAAGCCACTATGATTCCCATACCTGATGGGGATAACTAACACCAGTCTGCATGGTCTCCTTCAGGCTATCAGATCCATCCAAGCTGTAGACTGCTCCTGTCAAATACAACTTGGAAAAATATATAGAATGATTACCACATTAACAAACAAACAGGCAGCCAACTACCCCCTCTTTAAAAATCCCCACCCAATATACAAAGCTAAGTCTGGCAGGAAGGGCTTTTGTCATAGAGTGGGATCAGCATGAATAGTGGTACAATACAAGTATAAAGAAAAGCAATCCCTGTTAGGGAAGATGTGACTTCTCAAGGAAAAGTCTGAAATTTTTTCTAGTTTCCCGCTTCCTTAATCACACTCCACTGTCTAAAAACAGGTTTGGTAGGGTCAAAAGCAATACTTTCAGACCTCAGGACAGCATGAAATAAGCAGCAGGGGTGGAGGGGGGAATCTGGTATATATTATAAGGGAATTTTCTGAAAGACAGCTTCAGTAAGCCAGACCCATTCTTGTACTCCTGCTTTGGACACAAACACAGAAGAGTCAAGTCAGGATACTATCTACCCCAACTGGCTATAAAGATACCTGCTGAAATTAGCTTCAGGAAAAGATAAGGAAACATGCACACACTTGGAATAGGTTTTCAGAAATAACCAATGAAAAATACAAAGTACTCCTCACCTGGCCATCCTTCAGCAGGGTGTTGACAGCAACAGGGACGCTACATCCACCCTCCTAAAACACAAAGCAGCTGACACTGAGGCTCCTACCCAACACATTCAAAGCAGAGGCCTCTGAAAAATTTAGGCTGCATACAACCCTGCCCATCACTCTTCTGGCCCTTTTTGATTCAGAAGTAGTGTCCTTTGCAGTTTTAGAGAAGTGTAACAGATTTCCCATATTATGGCATCAAGTCAACTAGCAGATCAGCATTTACTGCTGCAGGCAGAGGAAGGGTGCCAGACCTACCAAACGCTTCATAAAGGCTCTCTCAGCAATGCAGCACAACACAGTGTCTGCATCATGCAGGGCAGATACCATATTCAGTATCTCTTGGTCTTTGGCACGAACTTCCACTGCTAAGGCACCCTAGAAGAAGAAACACACAAAAAAATATAATTCTTCAACTTCATACATCAGCATTGATCATGAAACAGAACTCATTGGCTCAGACCCTTTTCACTAAGGGAAAAAGAATGTTCACAGAAGTTGATTACTATACACTCCGCTGGCTGCAGGGTCATCCTACAGTAACTGCTATAAAGAGAAGATCAGCACTTATTCAGCCAAGTGTTAAAGATCATGCTGCCACCTCAAACCATTCTAGAACTCTGGAGGTACTTGACAGATGCATGATCAAAATCACTTTTTCAGACTGAATGTGCAGATTTGTCACTTGCAATCACTAACAGATCACCAGCTCTGGTTTAGCAATTTTGATACTAGCTGCATGAACTCAGCCATGCAGCCAGCATGGACTAGAACAGTCTGCCCACCCAAAAACAGGAGCACTAAGAATGTGCTCCAAGGCAGGCATTTCAGCTCCACCCTGCAGGAGTCAGGACACCATGCACAAAGGGGACCATCACAGACCAAAGACACTGCAGTGGCTTTACAGTTACCCTGGTGCAGCACCATACTGACCCTGCCAGAATCTGCCCCATATCTACCATGTTGCCCCTCTCTAGCTGTGCATGGATTTACCCTTCCCATTTACTGTTTTTGCTATTACTGATAGGAATCAGCCCCTAACACACTGGGTAGAAGAGCAGACTCCCAGTCTCCTAACAAGTTGTGCCTCAAACAGTGTAACAGCCAACAAAAGAGATCAAAGTACTTTTCTGATAACCAAGACATGAGAAGTCTTCATCACAGTTAACTACTCAGATGTATCATATTGCTGCTAGCTTTCAGTGCCCTTTAAGGAACAAAAGTTGTAAAGTACCTGTCCGACAGCATACAGACAATCTTCAGGGCCTAGGAGCTGAAAGAAAGTAAAACCAAGAGTTAACTCAACTTGAACTGCTCACAATATAGAAAACAAGAGCCAGATTCCTGTCTCTAATACTAATTGATTTAATGTCAGACCAAAGAAGTATCACCTCTCCCTTCCCATGCCTCAGTGTTTCCACCAAAACAGTGAGGTAACACACTTTCCATCAACTGAAGTGTAACACTTTGTGAATTAGGTAATCACTAAAATCTCTGCCTTGCACACTGCTGTGTTGCTAGACACAAGTGCTGTGAAGTGCTATGAGACAATCAGATTACAAACTGTTACTGAACCATGAAAAGCTGAACATGAAAAATTTCTGTATGAAAAAAAGCAACCATTCCTTCCGGAAGTGCCTCAAATCAAAGCTAACATGGCAAAGGAGTCAGGAGATTTCATGCTTTCATCCTGGACAAGACAACCACAAGGTCTGAAAGGCAAGCAGTTGCTATTTCAGCAGAGAATGGTATTTTCTGCTCTGCCGCACCTCACCTGGCCAATGCGATTTTCCCAGCCCATTCTCTTCAGCCCAGCAGCAGCCAGGATGATGGCACTGAAGTCTTCCTTCTCATCTAGCTTCTTTAAACGGGTATTTAAGTTTCCTCTCTGTAGAGGTGATTAAGCAAGCATAGAAACAGGCGGAAAACAGTCCTACAACCAGCTAAGTCTTTACAGACTGTACAGAATCCAAGAGTCTCCAAATGAGAATGTCAGTACCATCCTGAAAGAAGTGTTAAATATGCACAATTGTTTCTTAAAATTATATTTTATGGCAAGTATTATGGAATATTAATATTAATTCAAGTGCTGAGTCTACAAAGATATGCACACCAACGAAGTACACTATTAGCATCCAACTCCTTCTGCATTGCAAAGAACTCTGCTCCTAGGACTGAGGTAACGAAGCCTTTTCTCTGTAGGTCAGCCACGCACAACGGAATTAGTGGTCCAAACAGCATCCAGGGTTACTGGAAACCCAGCAACATTTGGTCACACACCCATGACAAACACATGGGAGGCACCGCCATGCAGTTTTTCAACACTGCAAAACATATAATTCATCTGTACGCTGAACCCCCAGCTAGATCAAGGCTGGCTGCTTCTTCCCAGCCTCAGAATGGCTACAGTGCTACCTCCCCCTCAGAACAGGGTAGTGCAAAACAGCCTTTGAGGAAGCAGTTTGTTCTTGTAAGTCAGGTGGCACAAATCAGCCTCGAATCTAGATTTTACACAAAGTTGCACTTTCCCGTTTGCAGCTTTACCCAGCTGCCACGGCTTGCCAGGAAAGGATACAATATCCCTGAACTCTAAATGAGGGAACTTCTTCTTGAGCTGAGCTGCTCTCCGAAGTGAACTGGTTCCAATCACACTATAGGGAAAAACATAATCACTGAAATCCAGAACACTCCTAACAGTTACCTCCAGCCACATATATGACAGAATTTTCAAGGAAACAAATAGTAACTTTTGTTTTTAGTTGAAATGAAGATAAAAAAAAACAGTCAATGATTTGCATCTCCTTAGAAGAAAGAAAATCACTCTGTGAAGACAAAGCATGTCTGAAGCAACTCCCAAGGAGCCAATTTACAGGACATGCTTCTGATGAGCAGCCCCCAGCCACTGTCAAGAACTGATGAAACCTCATTGAAAGACAACATTTTTCACAGAAAAAAGACTCCACTGCCCCAAATGAACCAGACAAAGCCAGACAACTAAGTGATGAAGTGACTAAAACAGAGGAACTTCATCAAAGACAGAAATGCAGTAAGCAGAGGACCTTTGAGTATACAACTGGAAACCACAGAAAACTGCAAGTCTGGGCATTTCCTTTCTCGCGATATATGCTGT